ATAGCTACACTGCTGTCCACTGTTTTAATATCATTTTGTACATGATACTCTGTTTTGTATAAATAATGTTTATATGAAATAAAAGAGAATTTTTGGGCCCATTTACTTATATATTCTACATGATATTTTATGAATATCCGAGTATAAAGCAGTCATTACACTTGAGGCTATCCTTAGGCTGAACCATTGCTGGGACAGAGTGAGAGTGAGAGTGTGAGAAAGTGGTGCTTTGTAAATTAGAGCTGCCACTTTGGGAAGTGAGAACAGGAGATATAGATGGGGAAGGCAAGAACCAGGAACAAGTTTCTTGAGACTGTAGTGGATAAACTTCTGACATAGAGCAGTTGGGTTGCTGTTGAAAACCATGTTTGAAAGGGAACTCATATTCACAAAATCTGACTTGCTTGACTATATAAATTCTACCTGTTGAATACATGCACTTAGTTAAGCTATAGCCAAGGAAAACACATTTTTCAGTGTTGAAAAAGAGCTTGTGCTTGTGATAGGGTCTGAGATAGGGAAAACAACTACACCCAAATACCCTTAACTCATTATATTGAGGTTCTTGATTAAACAACAATTAAAAAGGAGAGGATTTTTCTAAGACAGAAGAAAGTAGTCTATTTAGTAAGTAGGTTCCTATCATGAAGGCTGACCACCAAAACTTCAAAGGCATAAATGCATGAGCCAATAGAGAGAGACCAAATTCAGTAATGGACCTATGCCTTCTCTACACTCTACCATTTTGTTGACATAGGTAAGGGCAATGATGCTTAAACATGATTCCATGCTCTTGTAGGCACTTGGAGAAAACTCTAAACTCTCCTCCCCAATCATTTTGCAAACACTTAAGACGAGTATTCAATTGATTTTTTACAAACTTATGAAATTGGACAAACACTCCATATGCTTTAGATTTCAATTTTAGAGGGTATATCCATGTGTATTAGCTATAATCATCAACAAAAATAATGTAGTATCTGAACCCTTCAGTGGACAATATAGGGGGAGGACCCCACAAATCAGAGTACACTAAGTCTAAAGGGGCATGTGCTCTTGAATTAGAAGAAGGAAAACTACATTACGACAATTTGCCATAGGCACAGGCTTTGCATACAGTATTTTTATTAACATCAGTAGTAAATATCACATTCAGCTTATTTAGTACATAATGAAGTGCTTTAGTACTAGGGTGTCCTAGTCTAGCATGCCAAAGTAAGAATGTACTTGATAGTGCAGATGTTGTTTTACAAACAGAAACACTATTATTAACAGTACTGTTTAAGCATTGTGAATCAGCTAACAACTTATTAGACATTCTATATGAACTTGAAGAGATCACTGGTGGTGAGTGAAGTGATGCAGACTTATTTAAAGCAGTAGTAGAATTAACAGAAGTAACTACAGAAGAAGCATCAGTGAACAGAATATCCAACCGATAAAGACCATCCTTGACAGTCCCTTGCAGCAGTATAGATTTGCTGCCCCTATCCTTCACCAAACAGTGGTCAGAATAGAATTCAACACTCACATTTATCTTTTGTGATTTGAGAAATACTTAACAATTTTTTTGCAATTTTAGGCACACAAAGAATATTCATGAGATGTAAAATCTTATGACAATCAAAGGAAGGCAGCATTACCATACTTGTGTGAGTTATTGGCAATGACTCACCATTTCCAACTTGCACCTTAGAACCCCCTGAGTATCCTGATGTCATTAGCATAGTATTTGTGTTTGTAGTCATATGGTTGGAAGCTCCTGAGTCCATGTACTAAGACTGATCCTTCACTATTTGTGGTGTAGCAAGTGTGTGACCAGCATGTCCTATGGGCAAGATAATATCTGTTTTGGTGGAAGAACTAGAAGTGCTTTGTGAAAGTTGAGGGGAAGCTTGCATGGTGAAGGCTAGACCATGAGCAAGTTGATGCATTGCTGGAGCTCTAGTAGCTAAGTAATCATGAAACTGTCCAACATGATTATTGTAGTACTAAACTGGTACAGTAGTTCCAACATACATGGCTTGAGGAGTTTCATTTGGAGAGGTTGAATAAGTATGTTGTACATTGGACAGCTTGTAAAAGAGTGTTACGATATATTAAAGGCACTCTTCAGTATGACCTTCTGTTTAAGAAACATAATCACTTTAATCTTGAAGCCTATGTTGATGCTGATTAGGCTAGCAATGTCAATGATCGTCGATCAACTAGTGGTTATGCAGTATTCCTTAGGGACAACCTGGTTCAGTGGAGCTCAAATAAGCAAAAGGTGGTTTCTCTATCGTCTACGGAAGCTGAGTATAAAGCCTTAAGTTAGGCTGCAACTGAAGTGGTTTGGGTTCAATATCTCTTTAAGGAACTAGGGATTGAAGTTAAAAAAACTCCCATCATTTGGTGTGATAACATGAGTGTTGGGGCCTTATCCTCAAATCATGTCTTTCACGCTCGAACAAAGCATATAGAGATAAATGTACATTACATTAGAGAGCTGGTTGCAAAGAAAAACTTGGCTGTTCAATATGTCTCCACCGAATTTCAGAAAGCTGATATCCTAACCAAAGCTTTGTTAGGCAGCAGATTCAATACATTGCGGGAGAAATTAAATGTGTTTTCTGTCTTACCTAGTTAAAGTAGTTGTGTTGTATGATTGAAAAACAGTTTAGTAGAGTTGACAACTCATTTTTTTTTTTTTTTTCAGATCAAGGAGTAAGAGAGTAGAAATCAACTTAGTTAAGTAATGCAAATACAAGTTCATTTTACAAGAAAATACTGCAGAGCATAATTGAAGTTTGTTCTTACATGAGAATGTTGCTGAGTAGAATTGAAGTTTACTGTAGAGCATTTACAGGAAAATATTGCAGAGTAGAATTGAAGTTTGTCTTTACAGGAGAATGTTGCTGGGCAGATTGAAGGTTACTGCAGAACAGAATTGAAGTTTGTTTTTACAAGAGAATGTTGCTGAGTAGAATTGAAGTTTGCACAATCACAAAGTTTATAGAAAGTGAGAAAGTCAATTTATGGGATAATATTGAAGAAATGAATTGCAGAGCAGAATGAAAGCAGCAGCTGTTCACCTAGTCAAGGGAGTTTGATTTAAAGGAGAATATTAAGATAAAGAGACAAAGAACAGGGCTCATCTTTGTCACAATTAAAACGATTAGGACTGTTTAGAAATTAGTAAGTAACTAGTAGTCTTATACACTGCGTTTTCAGTATTATATCAGCAGTATAAAACACTGCATTTTAGTGTTGCAATATTAGTATAAAATAGCTTCTTCTTTGTGAGAGCTCAATGAATGAAATCCAAAGAATACCCACTTAAAATTTCAGCTTGTGTAACTAACTTCTTCCCTCTTTTGCGTGTGTCATTTTTCTTCTTAGATTCTAGTAGAATCTCTTCACATCTATCATAACTGGAGTGGTAATTCTACTATTCCAAGCACAATTTGAAAGTTGTAGAGTGACTAATCTCAACTTCAAACACACATGACAAGCAAACCCCATGATTTTCATACCAACAAAATTTATATCCTATTTTACTTCGAAAAAGTTATTAATGCTTTTGTAATGCCACAACCATAACGCTCTATTAAATGCTTTAAAAAATGATATGAAACATTGATCTAAGTAAGACAAATCTAGTATTTCGTAAACTAATTGCAATTGCATATAAACAAAGCAGTAAAGAGAAAAGACAACTATAAGAATTAAGAAATGAAAACATAAAGAAAACAATGTCATAGCTGTGGAAGCATCAATCATAGACCCAATGATTTAATAGCTGAATTTTGCACATAACAAGTAAGAATCAAATTCACACAGATTCAGGAGTAGCACCATTGCTTCGATTCGAGTTTACATCATCTGTATTATAAGAATCCTTTGATGATGTAAATTGTCCATTCTTACGATTCATCCTAGCACAAAAATAGAATTGCATAGTATTAATACCAATATTTCAATGTCTCAAATAACACAAGCCTCCATGATAGATAATGATTTCACATCTAAAAAATGAAGAGCAGCATAATATAAATTACTCTATTAAAACATATAAACTCAAACACTTATAAACTAATAAAGATATCAATGAACCTACACTTACATATCATAGCAAATATATATGCAAAAATAGCTTCACCTAATATGTTTACACAAAAGTCCAACTTTGAGGATATATGCTCTAATGCATTGAGTTATACATTTGTTTATGTGTGAAGAAAGGAGGAGAAACCAAAAGTGAAGTTCACATCATATATAACTAGCATCTAAAACCCCTCATTTTTTTCCCACTACAGATTGTAGAGGTTTACGGAGACAATTAAGAGTGCATGACAATAAAGATTTTACAATTGCTGTATTCTTAAAAAAGGAACAATTAGAGGACACTTATCTCCTATTATGTACTCACTTTCTTATGTAAAAAAGCAGTACTTGGGGAACAGAGTTGTTGAAGGTTGATGTTGTGTTGGAAGTATATTTTGCTGGAACTGAAGGCTTGAAGCTGGTTTTGATGCAACCAAAGTGACGTGCATGGTGCTGTTTTGTGTGCAGTAGTTTAGGCTTAATTTGTCAACTTGTGTGTTAAAATTTGACTTAAGTAACTCAGCCTATTTTGAGGCTTTGTGTCTCTAATATGTAATGTAGTTGGTGGATTTGTGTGGATTAGCTGGGATTGTGTAAAAGTCTTACTGACAGTGGTTGTAACAGTAAGCAAAAACATGTTATATGCAGTTCTTGTTTGTTAATGAAATCAGATTAGTTCTCTTCAGTTTTTTTTTTCTTTGCACATTCGGCATAAGCTAAAACACCAACATGGTATCAGAGCTGGATTAACAAACTATCATCTAACAAATTCACTCAAAAAACATCTTGAATCACCATCAAACTTCAACCTTCCGAAGAACAGCAACTGCAACCTGGTTTCCATGGCAACTCAGTCAGCTTCTCTCTCACCTTTAGTGTTCAATGGGGACTAATATCATATTTGGGTTGTTAGAATGAGAGCCTATCTAAAAGGACAAGGGCTGTGGCAGTATGTGGAAGAAGAAAAACAGCCACCACAGCTTGGTCCAAACCCCACCCTGAATCCAATGAGGATGAATGAGGAAGAGATGTCAAAAGCTCCAAGAGCCCTCTCTCATATACACTGTGCAGTAACAGACCTTGTATTTACAAGGATAATGGCGTGTGAAACTGTAAAGCAAGCTTGGGACAGATTGAGGGAGGAGTTCATGGGAAGTGATACAACCCAAAATATGCAAGTTATGAACTTGCGGAGAGAGTTAGAAATGCTAAGAATGCAGGAGGTAGAGAAAGTAAAAGAATATGTAGACAAACTTATGAGTGTGGTGAACAAGAATAGATTGTTGGGAGTTGAGATGAGTGACAAGATGATAGTTGATAAAGTGTACCAAAAGGTTTGAGTCCAAGATATCTTCCTTAGAAGATTCAAAGGACCTCTCCCAAATCAGCCTCACCGAATTGGTCCATGCCCTGCAGGCTCAAGAACAGAGAAGGCTGATGAGACAAGAGGACTCCAATGAAGGTGCAATGATGGCTGCTCAAAAGGGATTGAATGTGCAGGGAAGTAATAGGAAGTATGCTGGAGATAAAAGAGGAAAAGAGAGAACTAGTGGATAGTGGGGAAAACCAAGTGGAGGAAGGAATTATCCACCATGTTCCCACTGCAAAAAGAAGGGACTTCCAGACAGTAGATGCTGGTTTAGACCTGACATCCAATGCAGGGGGTGCAAACAGTTCGGGCACATTGAAAAAGTGTGCAAGAACAAAGGTGCACAACCATCACAGCAAGCACAAAGTGCAGAGGACCAGCAGCAGGGTAGTGAACCTGAGCAGTTGTTTGTAGCTTTATGCTATTGTATGCAGACCAGTGGTGATGTTTGGCTAATAGACAGTGGTTGTACCAACCACATGGCAGCAAAATTGGAGAATTTTGTCAGGATGGATAGAACCTACAGCTCCAAGGTCAAGGTTGGAAATGGTGACTATGTGGAGGCAAAATGTAATAATTACTTCCTACTCAAATACTCATAAAAATATGCATAATAAAATACATGTATAATAACATAAATAGTTGGGCCCAAATTTTTCTTTTATTAAACATATACATTCTTTATACAAAATTAATATCATAAACAAAAACTATCAAAAACCATGTAGATAGTGTAGCCATTCCTCCTCGCGTGTTGACATCCATCTGACCGTGTCCTCACCTAAATCCTGCAAAAACATAGAAAGACAACGGGGTGAGCACAAATAATGCTCAGTAAGTAAACCCTCTAGTCATCTATCCCCGTAACTCTCTCTCTCTCTCTAAGTCTTTCCTTACAATTCTCATTTACTCTCTCTTTTATACTTCTCTCTGTTTTCTCTTTTTGTTTCTCTCTCTCTGTTTCTCTTTCTTAGAACTCTTTTTTTTTTTCTACTAACTCTCTTTAGTAAGTCACGACCCCATCTTACCAGAGGCACGGCTGGGACTCGCTCCTGCTCTTCGTGACTTCTACTCGTTCTTAGCCGATCGGACTCGGTTATGCATGGATTCGGAACCCTTGGCCATGTGAGTATATAATCTCTTTCTCGGGTACTCTCGAGTATAGCCCTCATCCGCATGCACTCTCATGGGCTACACCACTTCTCTCTCTCATACTCATGCCACTCTCTCAATGCAGCGTACATGCGGGAATACTCTACCCATTACTCACGGGTTCCCCATCGCACAACCTACTCGATTATCTTTTTCTCTCTTTTCTCTTAATAAAGCTCACACTCAAAGTTCTCTACTCTTTCTCTAATGCATAATTAATGCATATGGATGATTCATGCTTGATTCATGCTCATTAATGCACTCATGAAATGCACAAATGCAATGTTGCATCAAGATATTCATTCTGCACAGGTCACACTCAAGAAGGCATAACTTGAGTTATACTTATCGGATTCTACGATTTTGGTCTTGTTTTAAAGCTTAGAGATAGGGATATAACTTTTATGTTTTGGTCTAAACCTAGTTAAATCTCTAAGATACCCAAACATTACTCAGAAGGTCACGGACGTGATAGGGCAGTTTTTACTTAGGCTTTTTACTTAGGCATTTCATCAAACATATTGCATGCATAAATAATTCGAATTTGGCTACCATTCTATCTCTTTCTCAAGTCACCAATATTTGGAGTAAAACTCCAGCAAACAACTACTAAACCTGCCAAAAACAATACACTTCCAAAAATTCTACTCAACTCTTTCTAACTTCAACCAAACTTCAATGAATCATCATACAACCAAAACCACTTCTCATGGCTAAATTCTACTCATTAATAATCATCAAACTCCTCAATAATTCATCAATTTCATCAACAATTCTCAAAATCATAAACATATGTAAAATCTCTACACCCTTGATTTCTCAAATCATAACTTGGGTTGGATTTATTTACTTTGAATTTGAGCAACTCCAACACTATAATCTCTCCTTGATAGAATTCCCTTTTCTCTTAAACCCTAAGCATATAAAACCATAAGAATTCAAAACTTTAAAATTTAATCTCACATCTTGATACAAGAATCTTACCTTTGGATGCTTAGGATTGAAAATCCACTAAAAAATACCCAAAATCTATGAATTTCCTTGGAAATCTAGTGAAGAAATTTGAGAGAATTTGAGTAGAGAATGGCATGAATGGAGGGATAGAGTGGCTAGGGTTTCTACTCTTGAACTGTTATTACATAATAATATATATATATAGGTTCCCATTTTACCCTTGCTCTTTCTTGGAAATTCTATCTATGTCCCTTAGTCAATTACAATAATGGCCTCATTTTTATTACATTCTCCATGAAATTCTATCTCTTTTCACTCCCCAAGTTTTCAACTAATTTTGAGTGAAAAGACCATTTTACCCCTAATGAAAGTTTAAGGGATTTTCTTCACATTTTTCTCAAAATAACTTTAACAAAATTCAACGAAGGGCCGACCAACCAAAAATAACAACATGCAAGCTCAAATGAGAACAAATCAATAAACATTCAAGCAATGTAACAATAATTTAACTACATACCTCAAGTGGGGCGTTACACAAAAGGGATTGGAGATGTGGCTGTCCAAACTCAAGCAGGTACCAAGATCATTTCAAGTGTTTTATTTGTCTTTGAAATTGCACAAAATCTGTTAAATGTAGGTCAAATTAGAGAAGAATTACACTTTACATTTTCAAAACCATGCTTGTGTAATAATGGATTGTGAGGGAAATGAATTAATGATTGTTAGGATGCTGGGAAAAAGGTTCCCGGTAGAGTGGAAAAAACCAGTGAGCTTAGCACTAACTAGTAGGGTTGAAGAGTCTGATTTGTGGCATAAAAGGTTTGTCCACTTTCATTACTTGGGAATTAAAGAACTTAAGGCAAGAGACATGGTGCTGGAGCTGCCTGAAATAGAGGAGAAAAAGTCCTTATGCACAGCCTGCCAACTTGGCAAACTTAGCAGGCCATCATTCCCTTCGGATCAAGCCTGGAGAGCAAGTCACAAGCTTCAATTGATCCACACTAATGTGTGTGGTCCTATGAAGATTGAATCCTTAAATGGCAGCAGGTACTTTGTACTCTTTATTGATGATTACTCAAGGGTGGCTTAGGTGTATTTTCTGAAGCAGAAAAATGAGGTGGCTACTGTGTTCAAGAAATTCAAGTTGCTGGTGGAGAATGACGCTGGAACTTTGATCAAAACCATAAGGAGCGACAATGGGATAGAATACACCTCAAATGAATTCAGCACAATTTGCAGTGAAGTTGGAATTCAGCATCAGTTCACAGCCCCATACACCCCTCAGCAGAATGGTGTTTGTGAGAGAAGAAACTGAACTATTATGGAAATGGCTAGGTGCATGATGACAGAAAAAAATCTTCCTAAAGTGTTATGGGCTGAAGCTATTAATATAATAGTTTTCCTTCTGAATAGGCTACCCACCAAGGCAGTCAAATATCAAACACCAATTGAGGCATGGAGTGGAGTCAAACCAGCTGTAGGGAGCTTGAAAGTACTTGGAAGTATAGCCTATGTAATGATCCCAGCAAGCAAAAGATCCAAATTGGATGAGAAGGTTAAAATTGGGATACTTATAGGCTACATCAGCAACTCTAAAGCCTATAGAGTTTATATCCCTGAATCTAGAAAGATTGTAATCACAAGAGATATAAAGGTTGATGAAGGTGTAGTCTGGAACTAGGAAGAAAAGAGAGTTGATGTGCAGGCTGAATCAAGACAGGAAGAGATGAATGAGGAGCTGATCCGAGAGGTAGATTCAGATAAGGAAGAAGAACATATTGTTAGAGGGACAAGATCACTGGCTGATGTATACAAAAGGTGCAATGTGGCAATGGTGGAACCAAGATGTTATCTTGAAGCTGTCAAGTCTGAATTGTGGAAGGCTGCAATGCAAGAGGAGCTCAGCATGATTGATAAAAACCAAACCTGGGAGTTGGTACCAAGACCTGAAAAAAGGAAAGTAATTCAGGTGAAATGGATTTTCAAACTGAAAATCAATCCTGATGGCTCAATCTACAAGCACAAAGCAAGGTTGGTGGTCAAGGGCTTTGCATAGCAACCAGGTATTGACTTTTTAGAAACATTTGCCCCGATAGCTAGGCAAGACACAATAAGGTCGCTGTTAGCACTTGCAGCTCAGTTTAACTGGAAAATTTTCTAATTGGATGTCAAATCGACATTCCTAAATGGGTGGATTTCAGAGGAGATTTTTGTGGAGCAACCAGAAGGCTACAAGGTTGAGGGCAAAGAGGATCATATGTATCTGCTAAGGAAAGCCTTGTATGGCTTGAAGCAGGCCCCTAGAGCCTGGTATAGCCGAATAAATGACCATTTGTGCAGCCTTGGTTACACTAGAAGTCCAAATGAACACAGTTTCTACATTAGGAAAACTGGAAGGGGTTTGGCTGTGGTCTCTCTCTATGTTGATGACTTATTGGTGACTGGAAGCAATCCTGAAGAGTTGGACCAGTTTAAGTCAGCCATGCAAACCGAGTTTGAAATGACTGACTTAGGATTGATGAAATATTTCCTAGGCATGGAGATAAGCCAGACTGCAGGTGAGATTTTTGTGTGCCAACAGAGGCATGCAGCCGAGATTCTCATGAAGTTTGGAATGGAGAATTGTAAACCAGTGGATACCCCACTGGTTCCCAACCTGAAACTGAGCAAAACTGATAGTGTAGAAAAGGTGGATAAAGGGAAATACAGGAGCTTGGTGGGAAGTTTGCTGTATTACATAGCCATCAGACCTGATCTTATGTTCACTGCAAGTTACCTTTCAAGGTTCATGAGCAACCCAAGTGAACTGCATTTCAAGGCTGCTAAACGTGTGCTGAGGTATGTAAAAGGAACCATCATGTTAGGCATCTGTTTTAAGAAAGCTGAAAGTCTGAAACTGTTGGGGTATACTGATAGTGACTGGGGTGGATCCCTGGATGATGCAAAAAGCACCTTTGGTTATGTATTTTACTTAAATCAGGGTGCAATTTGTTGGCTGTCAAGGAAGCAGGAGACTGTGGCACAGTCTATTGCTGAAGCTGAATATGTCTCTGCTGCAGCAGCAGTGAACCAAGCTATATGGCTTAGGAAGATGTTGGATGATTTGCACCAAGTGCAAGGTGGTCCTACATTAATCTTGTGTGATAAACAGTCGGCAGTGGCCATGGCAAAGAACCCTGTGCTCCACGGCAAAACTAAGCACATCAAGATTAAATATCATGTAGTAAGGGAAGTTGAACAATGCGGTGAAGTGAGCTTAATGCAATGCAGAGGAGAAGAACAAGTTGCTGACATTATGACAAAGGCTTTGTGCAAATCCAAGTTTGAAACCCTAAGACTAAAACTTGGTGTTTTCAGCCAAAGCATCAAGGAGGAGTGTTGAAGGTTGATGCTGTGTTGGAAGTATATTTTATTGGAACTGAAAGCTTGAAGCTGGTTTTGATGCAACCAAAGTGACATGCATGGTGCTGTTTTGTGTGCAGTAGTTTAGGCTTAA